ACCTGCCCTGTGTGTACATCCAGCTAGTCTGGAGGCATGCAATCCCAGCAGCAACTCCTAGCTGCAATTAAATTATGCCCACTGAAATTATCATGCAATAACCTCTGATAAAGAGAAAGAGGGACAGGCACTGCTGTGTTACAGGCAGCGCAACCCTAGGATTCGGAGGGACCACGCAAAGATGCACACAGCCCACAGGGCTCTGTCTGAGTGCACAAAAGATTCACACAAAGCACTCTGATTCATGCTGGATGCATACAGACGCGCACAAGCAACCGAGTGAAAAGCTTTCTCTACATTGTTTCCAAACAATCTCAATACAACTCACACGTCAGCCGGGGCGCCGGACACTTGGTACTTACAAGAGGGTTTGCTGTGTCTGTCTGCTGCTGGAGTCAGGACGGGTGTACTCGACTCAGAGGGAAGGTGCACGGAGATGTGCAGAGAGGCTCTCCTGCCAGCGGGGCCTGGATGGATGGGAAGGAGGGACCCAGCCCCTCTTCGGGCCCCAGAGGCAGCAACACTTGTTCAGGGGATGGAGTGCAAAAAGGCTGGCATTCCTACAGCAGCAAGGACAATGGGGAGGGATGAGGAGGCGCTGCCATAATCAAATGCAGTCCAGCTGGCCCTCCCCCAGGAAGGGCAGGCACCTCCTTCACTTGCCAAAGGCTTTGTTTTCTAAGCCACAAAGAACAAAGTGGCTGAGGAGGAGAGCCAGAGAAGGAGGAGAGCAGAAGAGAACCAGCTGTGGGGGCAGATCCACACGTGAGTGCAGGTAACCCACTCTGCAAGAGATGTCAACACAGATGGAGAGGGGTTGAGCAACACTCTGCCCACTCCAAGCAGAGCTCAGAAGTGGCAGCTCCTTGCACGCAGCAGAAAGAAGCTGGGGACGGCTGGAGATCGCTACTGAGGAACCAGAATCAGCACAGGCTGATGGCCAGGGGTCCTTTGAGGGAAGGGATCCAAGGGTGGCAGACAGAGAACACCACTGAAGGAACGGCTCACGGAGCAGAGCCCAAAGAAATCCCAACAAGGGAAATGCTACCATGTCTTGACCAGCCTCACCCCAACGATCCTGAGCACTGGGACTCTGGTTTCCCTCAGAAAGCAAATGCAAGGCAAGGTCCCAAGCTGCAATAGGCTCCCAGGCCATGGCAGAGCAATGCCCACACTTGCCCTGAGCACCAAAAGAGGCAGCATCTTGCACAACATCCTGACAAGCAGGAAAAAGCCCCTGGGGCCGCCTCAGGCCATCCTGTAATGATACAGGCAGTTCAGCTTCGAGGCTCTGGGCACCACACCACCACACGGCTGCAGGGTATGCAGGCGCTGAGCCGGTGCGATGGGACTTTGCCCTTTCCAGCTGGGTCAGTGCTTTCTTCCAACAGAATGACTTTTGCCAGCAAGCATCATGGGCCTTCGCTACTGACCTTCTGCAGGACTGGTTGTCATCCCAGGGCTGGCAGAGACCGTGCTCTGTGCTCTGGCTCATTAGACATGCCACTGCGAGTTAGGTAGCTGCAGTCCTGACAGAGCACACAGCTCTCACATGGGCCATTTCAAGCCTCTGGTCCAGAGAGCTGGGCACTTTTCTTATGGTAAAGTCAAGAGCATGCAGAGACCTGGGATGTAAGAGTGACCTGGGAAATAATTTCACCCAAATGAAGTTTGAGAAAGGAAAAAGTGTGAAGGCTAACAAGGTAAGCAAGGAGAGGGACACTTGCTCTAGCTCCTCCCAGTAATGTGCCTATGGCAGTGTTATTGTGAAGCCAGGATAGGCAGTGAGAGTGAAAGGTACTGGGGACTGCCCTTGCAGGCACCCCAGAACAAAGCAGACGTCAGTGCTTTCGGTACAACATACACACCCTTGCTTGCTCAGCTTCCCAGTTCTCCCCCAAAGCACCGTCTAAGTGCCAGATCCCATCACAGCCTTGGAATTGAGTAAACAAGGGACAGCAGCCAGATGAGGCTTGAAGCCACAGGAAGATGGCAGGTCCTCGAGTATGCCCGCACTGGGTCTGTGGTACTGAAAAACAATCCTCTGCCCGCAGTCAAAGATGGGGAAGGCAGCTTCCTCCACCGCTCCTCCTGCCTCAGCCCCGCCACCACCCAGCCCCTCGAGTATGCCCGCACTGGGTCTGTGGTACTGAAAAACAATCCTCTGCCCGCAGTCAAAGATGGGGAAGGCAGCTTCCTCCACCGCTCCTCCTGCCTCAGCCCCGCCACCATCCAGCCCTTGTCAGGCACCAAGAGCTCCTGCCGCAAAGGAAGCGGGGACAAATGGAAACATCCAGCTTGGCACCGGTCATGTCTTTGGGGAGGGAACCCTGCCAGCCCATGTGCAAGCTCCATGTGGTCTGGCCCAGCTCAGCCTGCCTCATCGCGGGGAGCTCTGACAGACCATCAGGAACTGCCAGGCAGTAAAAAAACCACAGTACAGCGTCTTGATGGACCATATGGGGTTGTGCTGTCCTGTCCCATGGCCTGTCCGGCAGCCACAGGCAGTACCCTACGAAACACTTGCCCACCACATGCAGAAGAAGGGCCAGCAGAACAGAACCTCCCATTCCTACTAGGCAGCAAGGTGCGTGAGGGATGAATACCATGCTCCCTGTGGTGGGCACTCCACTCTCTTGGCGCATGCTAAGACGTTCGGAGAGATCTGAGCTTGCCAGCTCGTTACCATGGCGTACATTGCTTACGCATCCTCAGGCTCCTTCCCCAAATCCTGGGGTCTGGCACGCTGCAGGCTCTTTACAAGAAGGAAAATCAAGGACATTGCTTAGTTCAGACTCCTGCTGTTGATATCCCCTCAGATATGAGAGAAGAGGGTTAGCCAAGCACTGACAAGATCACTGCAGGATGGTCAAAGCAGCTCAGCATCAGAAGAGAGTGAAATCAGTTTAGATAAAATCTTCTGCTTTCCCCGCACCTCCCAGACCACACCACTGACTTCCCTTTGTGAAGGCAGAAAGCATTCTGGAGATCAAGATCAAAATAATCAGCACTGAAAGAGCTTTCATGCTGCACAGCTATTTCTGCGCTTATCCTACAGCTGCAGGACATATTCCCTTCACACCCCTGGTTTCGGTTGGCCACCAGTTCACAATACACGTTATATTTACAACACCAGCATTGTTTATAGTTCTACTGAAACCAGCGAGATCAAAATCCTCCTCCCTCACTAAGGAGTGTGCAAACACACTGTGCCACTATCATCCAGTTTTCACTGGGGCTGTGCAGTATGAAAGGTACAACCAAGAGGGATGCTGCTGCTGCCGCCAAGGACTGCATCCCCCAGTTGTCATCTACTAAGAAAAGCTGTATGAGCAGTGCTATGAAGCCCTAAGAAAAGACATGGTCCATCTTTTGGGGTCTGTGTAACATTTGTGCCCCTGGGAATGGCCCAGGCTTTGAAAGGCTTTGAGGCTGTGGAAGAACACCCATTGCTGTTGAGTCACGTCTGACTACCCTGGCAGCCCAAGAGCTACTACTGCGATGTAGTTTCCATGCCTGAACGGAGAATGGAGCAGCCATCATGTGCCACAGTCCACATCTGTGCTCCAGAGATCTCCAACTTTGGCTGCGAAGGTTCATACAGGACCGACGTTTGGCTTGGCCACAGACTTGCCAGGATGCCGAGCAAGACCTGGCACCTTTGTGTGCCTCAGAAGAAACATGACAACAACCATCCTTACCAGGATCCTTGCCCGGATCCCCCATGATGGCAACGGGTGTTCAGGGACCAGAGCAGCCCCTGAATGTCTGTGCTCAATGAGCGAGCAGAGCACAGGTTCTTGCCATTCTCCTACAGCAGAGAAGGCACTTTTCTCTTCGCTGAGGGGGGAGGAAATAAGTACACATTCCCACAGCAAGAGGGTCCCCCACCTGCACAGCAAACTGCATAGATGAGCTACAGCGGACCTGCAGAGCATCACCAAACTCACTCAAACCTCACACGTCCTGACAGCAGTGTTCTGGGCTGCCTTCTCCACTTTCCTCCCTCACACAGGATGGTTCTCGACGTTTTCATGTTTAGTTGAATTTCCTCCCCCCTCCCCGAGCACTTCTGGCTGCCAAGGCAGCTCAGAGACAGCAACTAAGTGGCATCTACATCTGGTACAGCCTCGCTTCTAGTGTCTGTTCTTTCTGGAATTTGAGAACTTCAATACCCAATGTTTGTACAAGTGTGGAATAAATGGAGCACAGGCTCCCTGGCCTTCTGTGCTTGCCAAAGCTTTATTTTAAAATGCACTTGGAAAATCCTACTGTTTATTCATCTGCAACTTTAGAAATTAAAGACCACCAAATCCAACTGCAAGGTCTGCTGAATGGGTGCATTTGCATTAAACCAAGCAGGTGAGAAGGCCAGGCACTCAGCACAGTCACCACACACATCCACTCCTCCTGCTTCCCAGATGCCTGGGCCAACCCGGTCCTCTCGGGTCCCTCAGCCACGCTGCCCAGCACCCTGTTCTGGCGCTCCATTTCCTCACACAGGCCTCCACAAGAGAGGGGCTGGGCTATATTTAGCCCTGAATAGCAGGGTGCTACTCCTGATGTGTCAACAGGCTGACTTTACCAGTGTGTAAGGCTATCGTATGAACAAAATGCAGGCAGCCTACCCTGGCCTGGTGGCCAAGACTGGACACAAGCAGCCAATCTTTTGGCCCTTGGTGTCCGAGCCAGCACTACCACGATTCTTCTGTCCACTGTGGCCACGAGAGGAGCCTACAAGCTACAGTTCAGACAGCAGAAGACTGCTATTCTTAACAGATGCAGACATTTGCTTGAATACACACCCACCCCTTCTTCCACATACCGACTTGAAAAAAATCACTGCAGACACATGAGCATGAAGGGGCTTTGTAGGTCATAGATCCAGCTCCTTGTCAGTGCACACACTACATTTCACATCTTTCATAAACAACCAAGCTCTGGATGAGTCCGAGCAGGCTTTTTACACCCTCCTCCATGCAGCAGATGTCTTGTCTTACCTTGTCAAAGAATTCATACAGTCTGACCGTCTCACAGATTCGATGCCTGTTTTCATCCAGTTGAGTGCAGAACTCTTCCAGCTGATCTTTGTAGGTCTGCAGCTTTACCCTGTAAGCATGTACATCCACAGAGGAAAAGTCTTCCCATCGATCCATCTTCTTCAGTGCTTCCTGCCCTCTTCTGCAATATTCCTGAAAGCAAAACGCAGGATAGAGACCTGACACGGACCGTAGATAGTCGTCAAGGTCATTAACAGCTAGGACTAATTAGACTGTTTTTAAGGTTCAAATCACATGAGCAGGGGTGTACTTGTTTACAGCAGAATTCTGGAGAGTCCTGACCTCTGTTATGATTTACATGAGCCACACAGCAGCTTGTAAAGGCCTACACAGTAAGGCCACAGGTCAATTAGGATAAAAAAAAAAAAAGGACAGTGTTACAAGCACATCAAGGGATTAACAAAAAAACAAAACAAAACAAAAAAAAAATCCATCTTCCATCACAGCCATTATTTTCCTCAAGGCTGGCAAATACCACCTATTGAGGAGTTGAGCTGGTGGCTTTGTCTACAAGAGGAGAGCAGGGAAGCCAAGTAGCGTAAAGGAACGACACACACCTTGATGAACCCTCTACCAATGCCATCTTAGCATCATGGGTTTGGCTGAGCATGTACAAGGGACATATGCTACCAGCTCAGACTCTGGAGAATATGTTTTTCCAATTAGACAACACTTACACTGGCAACAAGATCAAACTCCCTGAACTGCTTTTGTGCTTGAAGCAGCATCTCCAAAGAATCGTCCAGGTTGATTGTTTCCTTTAGCTGTTTTCTGCCAACATTCTCAATCCAACTGCTGACCTAGGAGAAAAGGGAAAAGCTTCACTATTATTCACTCTGTGCTACTCACCAAGGTAGGCCTTTATGTGGAAAGAGCAAGGAATCGCTCTCATAATGCTGGTCATTTCATTACTGGAAAGAATGTGCACGTACACTTCCCCCCCCATCCTGGCATTTCAGCCTGAGCCTCCTGCTAGGAGTTTTTTCACTTCAGGTTACTGAGTAATTGCAAAGCTCTGCTATTGCTCACTAGCCTTAGGCATAAACAAGGCAAGTAGCTGCTTGGGCTCTGTTTCGGGTGAGCCATGGTCTAACGCAAGCCCTGCAACCTGCAGGCTGGCCTGATGTTCCTATTACTGTTACCCCCAAGTAGGATAAAATCTCCCTGCTGCCAGATTTCCTACACCACTTCCCTTTTCTGACTGGCAAGACGTAAACTACATCATTGTGAACGTACTGACAGATTCTCCCCATCTGCAATGTTTCACGGTTCTCTGGGACTCTCAGCTGCTGGTTTTCTGAAGGCAGCTTGCCATAAAGCCGTGCAGTAACTGCAGGTTCCTCGACGGAGCCCAGCCACTGCCGCAGTTATGAGCCTATATCCTCAAACATGGGCAGGAGAACTGACTAAGAAGAATGTCCTAAAAGCAAAGCAGACACAGGAGGCCAGGCAGGATAACACAGCATCTCCATCAACAGTAGGTTTTAAAAACAGGCTAGCAGACTCGTCTGCAATGCTTCAGGCATAGCTGCACCTGGGGGAAGGGACAGACTAAATGTTTCCTAATGCCCACTCATCCTGTTCTCCTGTATCATCTAAATCCATATCCCAACTCAACCCCACAGTCAAGGACAAACTCCTAGTCTCCTGGACTGAGAGGGTCCATGCCCATGGAACAAGCCCACCAGCAAGAGGAGGAGATGGGGGTGGGTTCCCAGGTTGTGACCCATACTGCAAAGGAGCACACTGCTGCTGCCTAGAGCTCCTAGGCAGGCTTAAAAGCAGGAGCAGCTGCTGCCAGCAATGCTGCCATCGTTGGTGATCTCCAAGCAAAGTAAGCTGGGAGCAGCCAGTTTTGCTCAATTCAATCAAAAAAAGTTCAGATTAAAGCAGGGACAGATTGCAGAGCCTGCCTTTGTGCTTTTTTTCCTTTCTCTAGAGTATTAAGAGCCTGTGTGTTTAAGAGAGTCTTTACTAGGTTCTTGGATCACACTTTTTGTCCTGAACACGTAGTGCATGGCGCCCGAGTGTCTACCTCCAAATGGGAAGTCATTAAAACTCTTGGATCCACCTTGGCCTGTGAAAACAACAGGTAGGCTACAGCCTCCTCCGCAAATCCAGTTCTCTCCAGAGAGGAGCCCAGAATCCTGCTACTCCAATGGTGAAACTGGTCCTAGTACCGACCTTTAAGAATGCAGGTTCCTAAGGTGAGCTCCAAACAGCACACAACCTTTCACACACACAGGGTAATAAGTGATACAAAAAACTTCTCATTGTTGACGAGTTACAGCAAAGGACACTATGCAACTCCATAATCTCAAGGAAGAGTTCAGGCTTAAGGAAGCACATCTGGGATCTGCAGCACTGAAAGAACCGACCAGACAGCCTGAGCTACTTTATGATGTTTTAAGGTTCTCTATCTACATGGCTACAGGTTTCAAAGGTCCTTCTGAAAACCAGTGCCTGTTTGCTTCAGTTATCCCACGGCTGTAAAGAGTTTCAATGAGCACCACATGAAGGGGAATTTTAAGCTCCCATAGAAGTGCGGGGGGATGGGTGCGTTGAGCATGGCTCTTGGGCTAAGGACAAGAGGCTGTTCCCCTGCCTGGAGACTGTATATAGGGCTGCACCCAGAGGCAAAAGGGGTGTGCCTGGGGCTGCACCCAGAGGGGAAGGAGTGTGCCTGGGGCTTACCAGATAGCAGGGACCTGAGCGCTGCACAAGAATCTAAACACAGCGCACAGCAGGGATGGGCAGCTAGCATAGGGTACACGGTGTGTGGCTCATTCAGCAGCAGGATATAAGCAAACCCTGAAGGATCTACAGCTCAGAGGGGACATGCAGACTCATCATCAGCTTGTTGCCATCGCTCTGCTGCTTCTTGAGGTGGAGCGTGAAGAATGGCTCCTCAACAGTCTTACTGGGAAGGTACTTTTGCTGACCAATGTGAAAAGACACCCCACCTCCAAGTGTACTGCCAACCAATGAGCCACTGCACTGTGGTCTCTAAGTATGGAAAAACATCACAGATGTTTATGGGGTTTGACTGATCCACACCTAGAGAGCAGCCAGGAGACTTTTACTTGGCATCAAGAGATACCAGGCCAACAGTGGCTTGGTTCCCAGCACACCTGAAAACGTATCCCAAATTCTAATATTCAGTCGTTAGGGTGTTCTTTTTAAAGGTCTACAGGCATCATTCTACACCTTCAACACGAGAGATCAACAGGCCCAGTACCCGCTGTAGGATGTACAGTCAGAGGGTGGCAGCAGGCAGTCACTGGAACTGACAAACAGGCCTTACCTCCTTAAAACATTCTTCCACTTTCTCAAACTCCATCACCAGCTCCAGTTCCTGGATGCGTTTGTTCGACAGCATCACCAGTCGGTGAACGCCCTCATCAACTCGATTATAAAGCACGCTGGCAGCATCAAGTGCGTCTCTGCAAGGGGACACAAGTCTGGTCAGGGGTTTTGCATTAGGTCCTTCCCCCAGCACTTCATGCAAACATGACCTGGCTAACAGCGGCGCTTCAATCATCCTCCTCATAGGACCCATAATGGCCATCTCCATATGGAGAACAGAAGGAGAATAATGCTGCTCCCTGCACATTCCTGTGATTCACCAGTCTGATCCCAATGCAGACAACAGACAACCTGGCAGGAAGGACAAGAGCATCTTCTGCCAGCCAGGCTCCTTGCAAAACTTAGTGTACTTATCACACTTTCAGATAGGATACTCAGCTTTTCATAAATGCAGATTATTTCATCAGTGGGCTTTCACAAAACACAGGCTCAGGCAGTCTCCATGTCTAAAACCACCATTTGAATTTAATTTAAATAAGTAAATAAGCAATCACTAGGAAACAAATCTCTCCTGAACAACAACAACATAAAGCACTTGATGCCCCACTCGCTCTCAGGAATTTCCACCAGCCAAACAAATATACAAAGCGTACAGCACCCCAGCGCCAAGAGAAATTGAATTTTACAGTGTCATGCTGGAAAGATTCAAAGACAGAGCTCCCCGTTTTCCACAGGCAGCTGTGCTGACCAAAGCCCAACAGGCAACACCAGGCAGCACTCTCCCTGCCAGCCTGGCCACAGCAGAAGTTAGCCTCCTCCGTACGCAGGCAGGGATGGAGGGCTTCAGGCTGGAGCCCAGTGCCCTTGGATGCTGGAGCCAGGGACTGAGCACACCATTTAATCCTGGCACGATGATGAATATTAGCAGGTTCCTTTCAGATGCGTGCAGCACCTCTCCAGCACAGGTTTGACCAAATTAGAACCAGGATCCAGAATAGCATTCAAGCTTATTCTTTCTTTGTGTCCCTGAACTTCTCGTATTTCTTCTGCTTCTAGATTTCCCCTCCTTTTACAAGCATGGACTCAACAGACACCTTCACCAAAAATACTACAGCCTTCTTCAGCTGTGCTCTACACCGGCACGTTCAGCTGCCTGAGCATCTCTTGTACTCACCCTAAACCAGCTTTCATTTTACAATTGTCTTACAACTTTCTGGCTTATGAGGGCATGGCTTTTTTTATCATATTATTAAAATTATCCAAAGCACTTGTGAAATAGGTAGCTAATAAACTCTGAAATGGAAGTTCATAGAAGCATTCACATTTCTTTCCATCTTAGGTTATAGGCATCTTTAACCTATGAAATGCAACTGAATAGAAGCATTTAGTGGCAACCATCCTGTAGTTTTTTGATAGTACTTCACTGACATGAGGTAGTACAATAGGTCTGGACAACTAGCTCTGCATAGCAGAAATCCACAGGATTTTTCCATTCAGAATTCCACCCAGTGTGCAACAGCCAACTTCTCAAACCTCAGGCTCTTAGATACTTTTGTTTTTCCTCTTCAAAATACCATTAGACTGAATGAATTTCTCCAAAGTGCAGCTAAAAAAACCCAAATTGTTTCTGGACTAAGATCAGTGCTACTGCAGTGCAGAGGAGACAGGTTCTCTACAGAGAATCTGCAAGCTTCAATGGAAAGATCCAAGCTGTAATGCTGCTCCTGCGTTTCCCGAAACCACCATCAACAAACAGTGATGATATGAGCCTTCTGTTTTGTAATCCCTTCCCAGGGACGGACCCAGATCCAACCCAGGAGACTTGCAGCAGCAGAGCCATAACCACTGTCCAAGCTGAGCTCTGGAAAGCATGTTTACAGAGCAGGTTGTGAAGGCCAATTCCCGTCAGCAGCAGTGACACAGCTAGGACAGCTAATGAGAAACAGTTCGGAAGATCACTGAAGTTATATTTGGCAACAACATTAATGCTGTTGGATTTCGTGCAGCAGAGCGTATCTGTCAGGTCCTAGTTTCTGAATAAGGCTCAAGCACACTGATGGCCAGACAGGCAGACACCCTTCGGTCTTACTCCCATGGGTCTGAAGTCCCTGCTGGCATGAATGCTCTCATCCACTCAGGAAAGCACACCAATACAGCAAATGCTCTTCCTCCCACCGGCACAGACAAGCAAGCACCTATAACTTTAGACATTACAGGATGTTATATGCAAACATTTGCAACTATCCTCTTCTGAGGCAAAATATTTTTCCAACCTTTCTCTGAGCTTCCATGGAAATCACTTTGGTGTTGATGCTACTTCTTTGATGGCACTCATCAACAAGCTAGATTGACCTGCTAGACCTTTCTGTAATGGCAGTCCTTATGTCCACCCAAGCCCATGATAAAGAAAGCACGCGTGGTTTCAATGCTTAACGAGATATCGCAAGACAGTAGCCTTATGGTGTAGCAACTTGAAACAAGAATTCCAGCTCTTGCGTTGGCTTACCTAGCACAGAATGTGATCTGATACAGGGAAAGGGAGCCAGGGAGTCCCACTCCACCCCTTTCCATACCTGATGGAGGAAACAGGACTCCAGTTGTCTCAAATTTGAGTAGTTTTCCTTGACAGGAGTCAGTCACAACCTGGGCTGCAAGGCTCTAACTACTAAAGATTCCCACATAGCAGACAGCACATTTCCCAAAGTCACAAAACATAGGCTCTCCTGAAGACAACACTGCAACTACGGGGACAAAAAAAATCACCCTTAAGGTAGAGGGATAGGAAACGATTACAAAACAAACATGTTTTAAGTAATTTTTTTAATAAACAGAAATAGGCCTATCACAAGCTCAGTGTGTAAAAAGGTGAATTCACCATGCCATCGTGGACAAGACCAGCCTCTTGGAGCACACCTGAGACCAGCACTGGCCTTATGACCAGCAAACCACTCCAGGGAAAGTAAGGTTCAAAAATGCAGTAATAAAATACTCCTGCTGGCCCACCCACAGAGCCCCGAAGAGCCCACTTTAGGAGAAAGAAGGGGCTCAGGTGAACTGCTTGCTGCTGAGCTGAAGGACTGAAAAAAATCCACCCCAAACAGTGCTCTTCTGGCCCCACACATGTTCCTTCCACAGAAGGAATTATCCCAGATTACTGGCAATACTAGAAAAATAAAGAGCCAGACTCTGAAGATCTCAGTAAGACCAAGCCTTCGTTGCATTTGCAGAAAGTAGTAGGGAAGAACCAAGCTAGAGCCCCCAGTTTAGAAGTGAGCACTTGGCCCTCTGCACCATCGGATGCGATCCATGTCCCGGCAAATAACGCGGCAGCCACACACGTCTACAGATACTCAGTCATCTTCCCTCTATCTCAGCGGATTCAATGGTACTAAAAGTGACATCCTGTTACTGAATGCATACATGGAAAACCTTTGTGTTACTGATCCACAGGCATCTCAAACTTACCTAGAGTCAGTCCCTAGATACATTTGGGAGATAATACTATAAGCAGGGACTGGACAGAGAATTCATTTCAGGTAAGAGGGGTGGAAATTAGCTTTTGTTTTCATTTTAAGTTGGGCTGTTTAGAGCATATATCATTATCTAAGATCCCTTACTCTTGTCATTTAAGTCATTTTCTTTTCTGTGAATGCTTGCAGCAGGCTATTGATACACTTACCAGGGCACAACCCAACACCCTAAGGCTGCTCCTTCTCTTGGACCTGCCAATGGTTTGCTGAGTGACTGCACCCAAGCCACCCAGAAAAAAAAAAGTTTCCAAACGGCTCCTCTGGGCTCAGAGCCTCAGAGGGACTTCAGGTGTGGCCTTACACCATCCCTCCTCCTCTTCCTCAGCTGAGTTCCTCCAGCATCCCAGCATCTCAGTCCTTTGTTTCAAGGTCCAGCCATGCTGTTTTCACACGTTCTGCCTCGCTTGGCAGGCATTCATTAAAACCTCAATGTCTAGTTGTTGGTCTTCCGTTGCATCTCCAAGGAAACTCCATTCATATGTTGTCAGCTCTTGACAGTTCACTTTTACCAGCCCGACAGGCTCTCTGACTAACATCCATCTTTTACTCTTACACAGAGGAAAATATAACCCTTTCCCCCCTGTAGTATAAAGTAGGTAGGCAAACTGAGCCAAACAAAGAAATCGCTCACAGTCCATGGGAAAGTTTGTTTTTTCCATTCACTTCGGCACTTGCAGTGCTCACAGAAAGTATCCATTGGGCATTAAGTGCATTCTCCCAAATCTCTGTACATCTGTTTACCTATATACACACGTCCATCCATTTGCTGATACACATCTTAAAAAACTTCTTCCTAAATCATTTCTAGTATACTAGTAAACTCAACGATATCCTGCAACGGGGAGTTTCATGGGAAAGTGATACCTTGCATAAACAACTATTTCTTCTTCAGAGTCAGACTTGGGGAGTTTTTAATTTCTGTCCTTCATTACTTTCAAGGCAGCTTGGAGTGAACAAACCAAATACTGAAAATTTGGTTGAAGAAGAAAAAGTGACTTCCATCCTGCCACACAAAGGGAAAACACCTGGTTGTTAAGCACCTTAAAAATATTTTAATAGAGGCCTGAGCAACTCTGAGGAAGAAAAGCAGAGAATTGTTTGAAGTCAGTGGAAAGTCTTGTCTAAGCTTAGATTTGTTTGGATGCATTGCGATTTCCCTGCACATGTGAGTGTGGTAATAAGAGTCTTTCACTACATTCTTCCATGGTCAAATCATCCAAAGTAATTTTGCAATAGTGCAGAGTCAATATAATTTATAGCAAAAAGAAGTAGCTTGATGTCAGTTTATGTTTCCCCAAATCCTGTTTTCATTGGGCAATTATCGTTTCAGTGGAAAAGGTTCCAAACATCTTCAGTTTTCTGGAGAAGTGCCAAGCAGTTGTATAATGGTAGGGTAATTTTAAACCTATAATTTAGCAAGACCATTTCTGTCTGAATCCATCCTTCAAAAAAAGCTAGCCTTAGAGAGTTACACTTTAGTTTTCAAAGCAAAATACCTGATTTGTTTTCAAAAATAGATGGCCACAGAAGAGGCATCTAGCAGGCTTGCAAAAGCAGGTGCCGCACGAGGCATGCCTGCCGACGCCAGTGAGACGCAAATAGAAGAG